CAGACCAAGTATATGGTAGCAGCTGTAAGAACACCGCAGCCAACACCGAAAAGCAGAGCGACGACAACACTGAGAATGTCCTCAGTGCGGTTACGGAGGGAGGTGAAGTCGTAGGACTTGGGCGGGCGGGGGACCTCCTGAAGGCCGATTTGGCTAGGGAAGGTTATGGGATGGGATGGCTGGTGGCGGACCCGGCGGATTTCGGTGAAGACGGTGACGAATCCGGCGGAGGTGGAGGGTTCGTTAGGGTTTGGGAAGGAGAAAGAGTAGGAGGAGACGTGGAAAGTCTTGCAGGGTCTTGCGGTGGCGGTGATGGAGAGGATGCCTAGAAGGATTGTGAAAAGCAGGAGAGGGGCGGAGTAGGCCATCGTCGCAGAATTTTCCAAAGTCTCTGGTGGATGAAAACAGAAGACGGGATGGAAGATTTAGGCGTTGGTTAAGGATATAATAACCAGGGAAGAATGTCCCAATGCCCTTAATCTTTTATGTTGTTTTAGCTTTGTGTCCTCAATCTTAATTTTGTCTGTTTCATCCTTAACCCCTTGGCGTTGGCGGCCAAAAGATTTATTTGGCAAATGACAAGAGAGGACTTCAATGCCATACCGAATTAAGGTGCGGTTATCCGACACATAATTTTGTGAAGGTTATATAAATTTATTTAATTTAATTGTTAAAAATAATTAATAATTGATAATATAATAAATATTTATTATTTAATAAATTAATATTTTAGATATTATAATTAATTAAATAATAATAAAAAGAACGAATTTTATGAAATTAAAATTTGAAACTAATGAAATGATGTTAGTTATATTTTTAAAATATTAAAAGTAAATCTTATAGTATTTAATAATTTATTTTTTATTTTATTAAAATTTATAATATTATATATCAATTAATTTAAGAGATTAATGAGTATTAGTCTTTACTTTCAAAAAAATTTGAATCCCACTTATATTTAAAAATTAAAATCTTAATTTAAAATTAAAAAATTCAATCAGTTTTTAAATTTCAATATCAATATTTGATAAAATAAATTTTTAAATTTGCAATTAAATTTTAATTAAATAAAACTAAATAATTTAAAATTAAGATTCTAATCTTTTTAAAAGTCAAAATTAATATCCATATTTTCTTAATTTAATAATATTATTCATACCACATCATTGATATTAAATTTTTATACTTTATATTACTTCTTTAACCAATTATTTAAAACAAAACTACATTTAAAATATAAATTAAACTAACAATTTTTGTGTAGTCTTCAAAAAAATAATTGGGGATGATTACCACACCTCAAATTGAGTAATTTATTTAAAAATATATAATTAAATTTTACGTGATATTTTAAATTTATAATATGATATAAATTAATAAAATTAATTTTTTATTTAAAAATTTATTTATAATATTATATATAATTTAATATTACGTAAAATAATATACAAATGTATGTACCATTGTATAAGTATAATATTGTAGTAATTTATTTATTGTAATTAGAATTACAGTTAAATGATGCCTTCAATAAAAAATAATAATAATAATAATAAAAAACAACCTTGGTGACGAAGAATGCCGTATGTTGTTATACGTATCAAAATCTATCACCTTTTATACAATACCGTATAAACACAACAATGCTAATGCAAATCTTAACCCTATTCTCTCTGCATCTGAAGGTTCTTTCAATTAATTTGTGTTGAATGTTTGCAATCGAATCTTCAATGCTCCCATCTTTTTGTAGCTAAAATGAGGCCGAATTTATTCAACAAGAGACTGGAAACCTTGTATTCAACCTGGAAGAATTTCAAAGAGGATCGCTGGGGCAATTCTGATGTCCTCGTCATCTACATGCCTCCGGAAGACTCACCGCCCCATGATGGTACCCATCAAATTTCGTCGTCTTTCTTGAATTGGTTGATCGGCGGTGGTTTCCCCGGTACAGTCGCATTGTTTGCGCAGAATGAGATCTTCTTCCTCTGCACCAACAATAAAAGTTTATCGTTTTACAGAACCGTAGTCGGATCCTCTATGGAAGCCGTTCACGCTGGAGTATGCATCAAAGCAAGAAAGGTCAAGAATGAGGATTTGTTAGCAGTCGTTGATAAAGTTTTAGGCGCGATGAAGGCAAAATACAGAGCCGAGGAGCCTCTGATTATCGGATGCATATCAGGGGAGATTCCGCAGTCGAGAATTTTCTGAAATTGTATGCAGAAATTGAAGCAAAACCAATACCAAATTGCTATTGTAAATGATGGGTTTACATGGTTATGTGCAAAAAATCATAAAAAGTTGAGATCAGATGATTTTGATATTCAAATGCAGTCTCTACCTGAGAAAGTTGAAGAGATGTTGTCTTTGTCACCAAAGGCAGAGGAACAGAAACCATCTCAGGCTCTGTTTGTTGCTCAACAGATGAACCAAACACCCCATAATTCTGAACAGAAAGGGAGGATTGGTGTAGATATTAGCATGCAAGGAGAAAGGAGAGAAGAGTCTAGTTGTGGTGATGAGGTTGAGGATGAATGGGTTTTGGTTGATGCAGATGAAAAAGTGAAACAAATTGAAAGGGCAAGGAAGGATTACATCTGGAAAAGGTTGCCTCTTAGTTGAGTCTATTCACTCTTGGATTATACCATTCCAATTTTCTATTATTTTCAATTTTTGTTCACTGAGATTAGCATTTGGTTGTCCACATCAATTTTTTTTCCTTGTTATAGATTTTTTTGTCTTTATTTGGACGGTACGCTTGCATATCTGATGATGAGTTATATAATAAGGGTTCTCTACCTATCTTGAGATTCCAACAGTCAACATGGAGGTAACCATTGGGATGTCCCTAGGGGATTAGCTTAGGCACACACAAACAATCAATATTACCAATGGTCAAAAGAAAATTGTTTTGTTAAGGTTAATTAAGCTACTTTCCTTGTTAACAACAACTTGGTTTAATAATGTCATAAGGAAGATATAGTTTTGATCCAAAAGAAAGGAAGGCCTAGACTCTAGTATCATTTTGATCAAAAGAAAGGAAGCTGTTAAATATCTTCCCTAAGGAAGCTGCTATATATCTTCTGCCCTCTTTTCCTCTCGCTTCTGCAAGATTGAGAGAAAAAAGAAGGCGAAGACATGGAATTACTCCCATCCAAGAAGATTTCTAGGAAAGAACTCAAGCCTGCGGACCATATCTACTCATGGAGGTTTGCCTGCATCTATGCCCATCACGGTTAATTTCCCCCTCTTTCCCCTCATATATTTTTTTTTTCAATGTATTGCAAAAAAGTTACAGTGTGCATTTTATGGGCAATTCCTTTTGTTATCGCCTACCACTATGATGCTATGCTTTGCTAGATTTGAGATGTCAACATTTTCCTAATTCAATAGTTTTAGTACCTAATGGTTGGATTCCATAGAAAATCAAGGATGAAACCTATCCTCTAATACTAGATAGGTGATATTACATTTTAGGGCTGAGCGTTCAAGCACAGATGGATATGGGGTGAATTATGAAAAAATATACCAAAGTTGAAATCTTAATGTTGGTCCTTGATAATTGAGCGGAGATTATGATTTCAGTAGCAAATTAATGAGATAAGAATGCTAAAAATGGATTATGTTCTAGACCAGGATAATTTACCACAATGGTAAATGGGTTTTCTAGAATTAGGTTCTTAGTCTGCATATATGCAGTATATAAGCATGCTGACGTGCTTAACTTGAACTTAATATTGTTTAGGTTGTAAAGCTAAAATTTTGTGTTTGTCCTGCTGTCTATGACAATGTTTAGGTCAGCATAGATGTTAGGCATTGCTTTCTGGAAATTGGTCCTTTTGTTGGGTGGGGGGCTCTTGTCCAGTGATCAGTTTGCTAGGAAGAGTAATGGATTTCATGGGAGAAGCAACCGTTTCATAGATTTCTGAAACTCCATGTTGATTGGTTTTGTTGTTAAAACCTGAAAGAGTTTGGCCATATAAGTATTAATTGCCAAGGCAATGGCCTTGGATTTACATCAATAACCATCTTTTGTGGCTCCTACGTGATGCTCTGTCAGTTCCAAACTATTATTAACCATGTTCAGTTGGTATTTGGTAGTTCAGTTCATTGGCATTGATGTCAAAACTGAGACTGCTTTTTATTTTGACTTGGGACTGGGGAGTCTTGTGTGCTTGACAATTTGTATTTGACTGATCATACTTACATATTTGAACATTCCATTCACAGTCCTTTGAATTTGTTGGGACTTGGGAGTGCCATTGGATGATTAAGAGATGGACGCTCATTCAGAACTGATTTAACTTTTGGAATTGTTGTCTAATTCCTAACAGCAAGATTGAAGGATTTTTCTCATTCCGCTAGTTATTCACCTCTTATATAGGCTTTGACTTCTTACATATTGATCCCAGCAAACTGGAACTGTTGATGTGATTTTATGGTCTCCTGCTATTTTTGCTCAATATCATTGATCCATGATCTGTAAGCTTGTTGCATGCTGACCACTGACTGGAATTATCTGGCAATTCTACTATGCTTTTGTTTTTGAAGCATTCCATTTTTACCTTTAAAAAGCTTTATGGCCCTTCTGCAAAACCAGTCTTTTTCTTCCGTAATGCTATGTATATTGGGTGGAGGGTCTGGTAGGTTGAATTTGAAAATAAAAGCGAACTTTGGTTCTTGAATTTAATGGAATTTTATCAGTCCGTTTCTTGCTTTTTCCCTCAATATTTTAAGGATGCAACTAGCTTCTGTTTTTTTTTTTTTATCCCTCTGGCCACGGATGTACTAACAAGCTTTATTAGCTTCTAGCAAAGTGAGACAACAATCTTAAATTAAAAAAATTTATCCAAACAGAGAATCTTATAAATTCATCAGTAGTTTGAAGTCCGTGTTTTGAACTTCTTTGGATATTTCAAATTACTCAACCAACAACAACGTTAACAGAAGTGTTGACCACTTGCAGCTTTGTTTTCATTGGTGCCTAGCTAGTTTAAACAACTTTTGGCTTTACTTTAGTCTGCAGCCATGGTTTTCCAAACTTTCCTGTCATGATGGCAGGCATATATGTTGGTGAAGGAAAGGTGATCCACTACACTACGGCACAGCGAAGTAGCATTGGATCTTACTCAGGTCTTTTTAGTTTTATACGTAGCTCAACTTCTTACTCTACTGTAGGCTCTCCGTGCCGAGAATGTGGTGATCAATCAGGACTTGGCGGAGTCATTTGTTCCTGCATTGACTGCTTCTTAGCTGGTGGTGACCTCTACCTTTTTGAGTATGACGATATAAGGGCTATAATTCTTCCAAAAATTCGAAGGACCTGCAGCTTTCTTTCCTCTGATTCACCAGAGATTGTTCTTCGTCGGGCTTATTACCTTCTCGAGAATGGTTTTGGTGACTACGATCTATTGGGGAACAACTGTGAGGACTTTGCAATCTACTGCAAAACTGGCCGTAGAATATATTAGATCACTTAGACTTTCCTGTTGGTCGAATTCCGATCCCTCACATTAGTGAGGGTCGGAGCTTGGGTATAATCAACAGGTGTTATTATTATTTCTTCACCACTATATTTGGCTATCAGCAACTTCAGTGGCTCGTCAGTTATGTGTTACGGTATGTTCCGGCTGGTTCTAGATATTGAAGTGCTTAGGGATGCGGTAGTAGTTCCAGTGGAAATTGCTTGTTTCCCAGTTCCTGTCTAGATGAAACAGATATGGGCAATATCGCTAAGGGGATTAATTGTCATTGTCCAAGTATATAAATCTATTATCCCTCTCAAATATTGGAAATGACTCTTGAAAAATTGCTTACAATTATTTAAGGTTGGTTGATGCTGCATCTTTCGTTATTTACTTAAAGATTGTTGCGATATTTATGACTTAAATTTTATCTGGATACGCTAGCAGCGGATGGAACCAAATATACTGTAGTCAATTTCATTGTACGTACTTTCCCTTTTGTCTTCTAACAATTTCCCTATTCTTAGAGCCAGAAAATTAGGTTAAACTTGATTTAAATTCAAATTTTGAATGACCATAGTCAGTCTGATGTGGTACATTGATTTTTGAGTTTTTGATAATCATGCAGAGCAATTATTCTATGTTTTTCGATAAGACAAAAACAACGTGCCCTCTTCCATAGAGGTTGTTTTTCAAAAGATTGAAAAAACTCCTAGTTTTCCCTTTGGCTTTCCCCTTTTATTTAGGCAGTTTGGTATGGTGGTTTTAAGGCACTCATTAGTAATTTTGTCTAAATTACTAAATATAAGTGTTTAATAAATTTATATATTTTGATATCATTATAAATAAGGTATTTGAGAAAATTTTTATTTAATAGTTTGAGATTAGCGGATAGCAGTTAGAATTCAAATCGTCAGCGGATTAAAAAAGTTAACTTAAGTAGTTTTTTG